AGAGAAAGGGAGAGAGAGAGAGAGAGAGAGAGAGAGAGAGAGAGAGAGGGAGAGAGAGACAGAGAGAGAGACAGAGAGAGACAGAGAGAGACAGAGACAGAGAGAGACAGAGAGAGAGAGAGAGAGAGAGAGAGAGAGAGAGAGAGAGAGAGGGGCAAACAAAAAGAAGAAATTGATTTTTAAAAACAAACACGACCCACACTTGTGCCCCGCGAGCCCCGAGGCAGTCTCGAATACAAGAGAAAGGGAGAGAGAGAGAGAGAGAGAGAGAGAGAGAGAGAGAGAGAGAGAGAGAGACAGAGAGAGACAGAGAGAGAGAGACAGAGAGAGAGAGAGAGAGAGAGAGAGAGAGAGAGAGAGAGAGGGGCAAACAAAAAGAAGAAATTGATTTTTAAAAACAAACACGACCCACACTTGTGCCCCGCGAGCCCCGAGGCAGTCTCGAACGCTGACGCGTCGCCCGGAACTTCCACTCCCCCTTCTTCGCCTGGGCCCCCCGGGGGCCCGCGGCGTCTTCCAGCCCGAGAACTGCATGGCATGGGCGCGCGATCAAGGGCCTCTCGTCGATTCACTAGGCGCCCCCGAGCGACTTGCGACGCGCGCTTCGGCCGGAGCGAAATATGTCTCGACTGCGCCCCAAATATTAAGAGTCGCGGTGGTCACTAACGAGCCATTGCCCAGCCCGATGGCACAACTGTCGGCGGCGCCCTGGGCGACTGGGGCGGGGGCCGGGGGCGCGCGCGGTCTGCCCCTCGACGAAGCAGCCCGCGCGCGACGCCAAGTCCTCGCCGAGCTCGCGCCGGGAAAGATTCAAGCGCACCCGGGGCCGCGCGAATGTCGAGCGGGCGCAGCGGGGCGCGCCAAAGGAAGCCTTCCGAGCCCTGGCGCCCACTTGATCCTGAACGCGCCGCGGCAACCTGACCCCGGAAGGTCGGGGCCGGGGGTCGACGCTCGCCGACGTCGCGCCCCCCGTCGCTCGGCTGCGACAGGGGGCGCGACGTCGCGCGGGAGCTCGCAGGCCTGGGCTCAGATGTCGCCCATTCGGGGTCGCAGGCTGCCGCGACTGAGCCCGAGCTCCAGAAGCAGAACATGCCGCGCTTTCACTCGCCTGTGGAGCTTCGCCCGCGCCGCGAGCTCCCTCGCCTTCAGCGGCGCCTCCATCGGAGCCTCCAGCGCGGGCGGCCCCAGATTCACCGTCGCGCCTCTCGGCCGGCAGCCGTGCCCGCAGCGCCCCGCGGGCCCCGCGCGCCGGACGGGCCTGCTCGGCGACTTGGTCGAGGAGGTCGCACCCCAACTTTCGCGCGCCTGGCGACGCATTCCCAACGCGCATCTGAAACTCATCCCTGTCGGAAGCCTCGACCTCCACATCGCCGGCCGCGAAGTCCTCGAGCATCTGGCTGTGCTCGATGATCGCGAGCAAGTCCAGCTTGCCAGAGACGAGGTCGCCGAGACTAATCGATGACTTCGAGAGGTCCGAACTGCGGCAGCAGCTAGGACCTCTCGAAGAGGGGCTTCCGCCTCGGCAGGTTGCTCTCGAAGATGAACGACCTTGGACAGCGAATGCTTCATCTGCTGCTCCACCATGCAGAGATGAGCATGGGCCTTGGTGTACACAGAAACATTTTGAGGCGCGGTGGCAGCTTCGAAACGACGTGCCATGTCGACGTCTCGTATGGCGGCTCTCTCGTCCCGAACATTCTTAAAGAGCTCACCAATCGTCTTGGCCTCCTTGGCAGAGCGCTTCGGGACTGGACCCAAAGGGAGTGGAAGGGGCGCCTCCTCCAGTCGCATCTGCGCCGCTGCCAACGTGGATCGCCGCCAAGCTGTGCCATTTCTTGGGCCCACCACCGTAGTATCCCTTGCACATGCCCTTGCCGCCGCCGCCCGCGCGACGCGCACGCCATGCCACTGAACCCCTCCTTTCCCCGCGACGGCCTCCCTTAGTGCTCCATTCGCCTGGTTTGTCCTGACCTCCCTCGGAATTGACCCAGGGAACATAGCAAAGCCGAGAGGAGCTGGCACCACCGAAAGAAAAGGAACGCAAGCAAGGATAACGGAGTGTACCACACACGAATCGTGTTGCGAAAGCACATGGCGGGCGAACGCCAGGGAAACTGTGGGGGCAGCGAAGTCCTCCTGCCACATCTTCACAATCCTTCGAGCCGTAGTGGCGGCTACGGACTTGCTTCTCCTCCTCCTGCCCCTCCTGTCCTCCTCCATTCCCTTTCTCCGTACCAGAAGCTCCGCCCTGTCGCACCCCCGGACGCGTCGGCAGGACAATTCCTCACCGCGTATGACCCTGAAGCTTGAGGTTTGCAGCATCGTCACTGATGGAGGGCGGATCGCTCTCGAATTGGAGCTCACGCCTGAACGCCACGTGCATTCGGTTTTTGCTTCTTCAAAGCAGCAGCAACTTCACGGATATAGGGTGGCTCCATGCCAAGACGAAGCTCTCGCCGTAACACCACGCGCATATGCTTTTCCATTGCAATAACAGCTTTACGGATCGACGGTGGTTCCGTTCCAAAAGTTGCCCCCCGAGTCCACAAATAGAGGAAGGCTCTTTTGCGACATGTGGCTCTCGCGTTAGCCCCGCGCGCTTTCGCCGGAAACGTTTGCAACAACATCACGGATATATGGGGAACCGCGCTCAAATGTGGCCCTCGCCTTTGCGCCGCGCACATTCGCCTTCACAACTTGTAAGAGACTCCGCGATGAAGGACGGTTCCTTTTCAAGCTGTGGCTCTCGCCACTGCGTCGCGCACACTCGTCTCCTTATCGTCGCGCGCATGCGTTCTAAAAGTCTGCACTAGGATTGATGGCGGCTCCTTTTCAGGCGGGGCTCTCGCCTTAGCGCCGCGAGCATTCGCTTCAAGATCTTCGGCAGTTGTGAAGATTGGACAACGGTCGTTTTCAAAATGGGCCTATCGCCTGAGAGCCGTGCGCTGTCGTTTTGTCATGCAATGTGAAGCGGGATGGAATATTGTCATATTTCAACGTGTAGTTGCCTCCTGAGCGTCCGCTAAGCTTAAACACCCGGAGCTTCAACGCACGCAGGGCAGCACGGAGCCATGGCGGCCGGTTTCAAAATGGGATTGTCGTCTGGAACGCCTTCGAAGCCCATGGCCACAAGCGTAATATTGCGCGTTCGCCCGGATGGGGAGAGATCCCTCTTCGAAACGAGTTCTTGTTGGACTGTATGATAACATGTGCGCACTCCTGCTTACGCACCAGAAGATGTAAGGTATACGTGTATGTATAAATATAGTCTATATATATATATATATATATCTTCAAAACGTGACACTCGCCAACGTTCCCGGCACAACGGTGCTGATATTTCAAATGGGGGCGCTTCTTGTAGTGACAACGAAGACTTCTGTAGGGGCGCAGGAAGACGAGACTTGAGCCTGGAGGGTGTATTCCAGCATCGTTTTAACGCATGTTTGGATTACTATGGTCTTCATTCTCCTCCACATCCTCCTCCAGGGCTGGATCGGAACGTTGCATTTCGTTTTGTTGTTGTTTTGTGGTCGTTTTGCTCTCCCTGCTTTCCTGTGCCTCCCTGCCAGCACGAAGAACAAAACACAGCCGAAGTCCAGCAAAACGGCGTTTAGGTCCAGCCCTGTACTCCTCCGCCTCCCTTCCTCCTCTCAAAACCGACCCCTGGACCTGTCCTGGGGCGCTTGTCGATTAGAATTTGCAAAGGGGATCGGGTATTGTCGACGAGGAGTCTCCCGAAGGCACAAGTGCCAGAGGAAAGACACCACGGTATCGATCCTCGAACCCCGATCCGCAAGCCTCTTCAAGCATCCGGCGTCGCAACTTTTTTATAACATGGACTCCCCAAGGTCTCGACCCCTTCCGCAGAACTGGCGCTTCCGCCCGAAACGTGTTTGACAGTCCTAGGGCCCAGCGAATTCCCGCAAGTACAGAACATCATCAAAAACTATCAGTTGCTACTTTGTCGAAGCGCGACGAGCCTGCGTCCTCCTGGACGACGATGACGATGACGACGACCACGACGACGAAAACGACAACGACGACGACGACGGACGGCGGGCATGGCGACATCAATGCCCGATTTTGTCAAGGTTTCGACTAGACCGAGACATTAGGGCCAAACTCGGGGATACACAACGAGGAAGCGCCCCTCCTCGATCAGGGGCGCGTCCATCCTCGATAGGGATGGTCGGCCAAACTCTGGGGCCAAACTTGGATGTACACTACGAAGGGGGCATCCGTCCTCGATAGGGCTGCGGGGGTGTATCTTTGGGTCGACGGGCGGCCAGACGTTTACGTCTTTTGGGGGCGAGAGCGGCGACGATGACGGTAATACGATTAACTAGAAGAAGCGAATGAGGATATTGATAAGAATAAGGGTCAGGACAATAACAATGATAATACAAGTAATGGTAAAAATGATACGATTAGATATGATAATAAGCATAAGTAGTAATATTAACAACAATACTCACACGAATAAAACGATAATATACTAATAATTGTAGAGATGCTAGAAGAAGAAAAAAAAAGACACCGACGAGGACGACGAAGACAGCGAACAAGACGACCACGACGACGACAACGACAACGACGACGAGCGCTCGCAGAGGGACGCCCAGCGGAGGGGTGGCGCGCCAGCAGGCCCCGTGGCCCGCGGCGTCCAAGCTCGGCGGGCTCCGCGAGGGTTCCTCGCGGCAACACTGGTGGGCGGCGGCCAACAGCGCCGCGGGCGGCGGCGAGGGCGCGGCGACGACGACGGCGAGGGCGGTGGCGAAGGCTTCCCTGGGCAGACCGAACGTACGCCAGAGCGCTTCCCTGAGCTACGCGCTGGGGCGCGTCCCTGAGGCGCAACCTGACGGGGCGCTTCTCAGCGGCGCCCGAAGTTTCCTGTCAGGACGCTCCCCTGGGCAGCCCACGCGTACGCCAGGAAGCTCCCCTGGGCACCCGAATGTACCTGCCAGCGCGCTCCCCTGGGGCGCCCGACGGCACCAGGCAGGGCTCTCCCTGAGGTGCCCGAAGGTACCTGCCAGGATGCTTCCTTGAGGACGACGGGCGAAGACGACAAATTTTCGGAGGTTCTCACTGGTTCCTGGAGGGCTTCTCGCCTCGGGAAGCGCTCTAGCAGCTGCGCTTCGCCGAGAGCGTTCCCGGGGTGCCGGGATCGGACCGAAAAGCTGCCGGAAGCCCCGATAGAAAATGCAGGGTCGAAGGTTCAGAGGCCCACTCAGATGAGTTGGGCCCCAGGGTTCACAAGACCCCCCTGATGGGATGGGGGAACGACGACGACGACGACGGCGACGACGGCGACGACGACGACGACGGCGGACGACGACGACGACGACGCCGACGCCGACGCCGACGCCGACGCCGATGCCGACGCCAACGCCGACGCCGACGCCGACGCCAAAGCCGACGTCGACCTCGACGCCGACGCCAACGCCGACGACCACGACGACACCGGCGACGACGACGACGACGCCGACGCCGATGACGACGAGACGACGACGACGACGACGACGACGATACGACGACGACGGGATGGCGACGACGACGACGACGACGACGACGAGACGACGACGACGACGACGACGACGACGACCACGCCACGCCCACAGGGCCACGACGACACCATAGGGGGGGGGGCCATCGCGCGGGGAGGGGGGGGGGCCGATCCCATTGGCACTGGAAGGGGGGGGGCGGAGCCCTGGATCACATTTGGCCTGAAAGCCTAGATCTCCCACAACGTGCGTTTGCTCAATGCCGGCGTTTTTCATCGATTTCTCCGGCCCCCAAAGCCGTCGAAGAGGAATCCTGGGCGGGACCTCCGGGCCCGCGGGTGGAAAAATATCACACCCCTGGGTGCCTGAACTGGCGGCGGCGGCGGCAACGGCAACGGCAACGGCGGCGGTGGCGGCGACGGCGGCGGCTGCGGGACCGTCTGTCTCGTCCTGCCCGTCCTCGTCGTCGTGTTTGTCCTCCGTTTCCTCTTCTTCGTCCTCGCCGTCCTAGCTGCGAATCAATTTTACTTCGTTGGCGCCCATGGCATTGCTCAATGAACGTCATGACCGCACCCCCCCTCGTGGTCACCACTTCCTCCCACCTCGCATGCGTGACTCTGGCCCCGTCACACCGATGTCCCTTCTCCCCAACTAAACTCATGCTTGCGGCCCGTCCAGGGACGATGACCGTGACCCCGTCGTGGTCATCATCTGCTTTCACCAATCGCCCATTCACCGAGTGGCTGGGAGCGCGCGAACGCAGGACGAGGGTTGAGGCGAAGTGAAGCGAACCCTCACATCTTGTATACATAAATGCTATATGAATATATTGACTTTCTGACCGTCGCCGTGCAAATTTGTTCCTCGGTGCGTTATGTGATCGGGTTTGGACGGCCATGGCGCGCGTTCGTTTGTGAACTTCGAGGTCAGAGCTACTGGGGCCTGTGAGGGGGCCTCTTGGGGGCCGTTTGGGGACCTGTTGGGGTCTCCTTGGGGCCTCTTGGGAGCCTCCAGGGGCCTCTTGAGGGCCTGCTGGCGGTCTTTGGGGCGGAGGACTTGAACTCTCAATTCGAGTTCCTCCTCGTAGACCCCTCTGGGAGCCTTCTGAAGGCCCATCTTGTCCGTATTGGGAGCTTGTTGGGCCGTCTTGGGGCGTCTCGGGTCCCTCTTCGGGGCCTGCTGGGCCGTCTTGGGGTGATCTTGGAGGACACTTGGGCCGTCCTGAACCCCGTGCAAGCCGAAAGGTCGCACAAAGCATGTATGTTTTCCGATGGGAATGGGCAGAGTCGTTTGCCTTGTGGAGCCCTCTATGGGGGGCTCTTGGAGGCCTCTTCGAGCGTATTGGAAGCCTTTTTGGCCGTCTGAAGGTCATCTGGAATGTCTTCGACCAATCGCTCGGCGAATCGGGGTCCTCTTGGACCGTCTGAACGCCTCTTGGAGCCCTCTTGGCCCGTCTTGGGCCCGTCTGGGGCACTCTGATGCCATCTTGGGCCCTCCAGGGGCGCTCCCGATTTAGCCAAACAGCCGGGCCCAGCATCAAGGCAGATCTTGTTTCTAATATCTAAAGGCTCATTGTATTTGCACAGCGATATACACATATGTGGATGTGTACATCGTAGGCATACATCTACATACACATATACAGATGTGCAGATTTCTATACACAGGAGCACATAATCATGACATCTTCTCGCCACACCACCAGACGTGTCTGTAGGGCGGGCGGGGGCAGACGTCCTCACCGCTTACGGTCATGAGCATCAACACTTTACGACGACACGGACGGAAGGCGAATCGCTTTCAAAACGTCATAATCGCCTGAAGTCTGCACACGGTCGTCTTAAACACTTCCAGCAATTACGCTGATGGGGGACGGATCCTTTCTCAAACTAGGCTTTCGCTTTGAGTATCGTCCGAACTTGTATATCAACTTTCCCCAAATACTACACGGATGGAAGGCAATGTTTTTCAGTTCTCGCTTGTAATTCCCTCAGAACACACGACCAAAATGGCAACTACACGGAAGACGGAAATCAATGTCTGGTCAAAACTGTGCTCTCGATGGTGAGACTTCCGTGAATGTTGTGGCCCAATATATTCGAACTCTCGAGGTATAGCAGGATGCAGGGAAACTCCCTTTTCAAAATAGGGTTATCGCCTGAATGGTACGCCCATGGAGACCTCGTCTTTCACGGGGTGCTTCTCGCAAAGAACAAGAATGTTTGTAGGGTCGGGAAGACTGGTCCAAGCAACATCGAGGGCACTGGTGGTCGGAATTTCTTCGGGCCCGCATCTGCAGAGAGCCCCAATTACCCAATGTGTCAATGGCGCTTCGTGTGAATCAACGTGCAGACCGGAATTGTTTTAAGTCCGCACCTGCAGGGAGCTCAACTGTCCAACCCGCGAGTCAGCGGCGCGTCGTGCACACATTTGTGCGGACCAGTTTTGCTCTGGGTCCGCCCCTGCAGTGATTCGGATTCTCCCGAGTGCGTCTAGATTGCGCTGGTATGAGGCTTTCTGAAAGCAAAAAATGATCATTCCATTCAGAGGAAAAACACTAGCACACAAAAAGCAAGATATGGCAGCAAGCTCCTGTCTGTTCCATCGTGTATTCTTTCAAATCCAAGAATACCCAGCTGGAAACGCTCGTCCATCCAAACTTTGAGGCCGCGCCGGCCTCGGAGATCCACGATGGGCTCCGTGACGCGACGTTCCACAAACTCGACTTACGTTCATACCCGACGCATCAGCGCGGGACCCAGAAGACATGCTATCGAGATTGGCGCGGCAACCCGGAGGCGGATCGACTAGCTCAATCTGGCGCCCACCTATTTGGACTTGGGTAAGGAACGCTCCCCTACTCCAATCGGCGGATTGACCCAGAGCAAACAAGTTAGAGAGCCTCGGTCGGACGATGAAGAGACCTACGCCTGCTAGCTGGATTCCGTGAGGCCGCCAAGAGAATTGCTATCTATCCTTCAGCAGGTTCAATGATACTGGAGAAAAACCCCTATCATATTTTTTAGGGCCATAGGACTATGGGGCTATAGGGCAATAGGTCTATAAAGGGGAGTATAAGGCTATGGGGCTACAGGGCTACAGGGCTATAGGGCTATAGAGCTATAGGGCTATAGGGCTATACGGCTATAGGGCTATAGGGCTGTAGGGATATAGGGCTAAAAAGGCTATAAGGCTGTAGGGCTCTTGGGTTTTAGAGACAAGAACAAGCCTGTCTGTGCAGAGGCACCCCCGGAAGCCATTCGATTTACAATTTTGCAGGCGAGAGCAGCTTTTGATTTTTTGGAATCGCCGAACGACTGGTGACCCCCTGGAATCAATACAGAACACGAAGCAGGTCGACTCACTGGCACATGCCGACCGCGACGCCGACCTAACATCGGCCCCACCACCTCAGATAGGCCCACAAGGCACCAATAATTAAGCACACCGAAGGCTCGACTTCGACTCCAGACGTCTGGGCCAAGCCGCGCTTGGGGGCACGACAAAACACCCATAAAACATGTTGCTCTGGCCACAAGGCTTGTTGGCAAAGCGCAAGGAAACTACCCTTGTTGTTTTAGCGCACGGAGAAGGCAAGCTTGAACAGTGCTCCGATTTGGGATAACATCCCGAGATCCGCGCGCGCGCGCAGAGCCGCAGTTAACGACGCAGGGAACCCCAACACATGCTGACATCCTAAGAAGGACCCAACCTTGCCATTCCCGAAGGCTTACTCCGTTGGAACGTGCCTGAGCACCCCACCTGCGGGGCTATCGCAAATCGACGCGCGTGACCATCCAATGGCGCGCTCGGGGCACTCTCCTCACGTTCACCAGGGAGAGCGAGGGTCGGCTTGCAAGCAAGGCGGCAGCGGATTGGGGAGCGGGCGCGCCCATGGCGCGCTACTCGATCCAACAGAACCCAAGAGGGCGCCAAAACCCATCCTTAGCAAAGCCCAGAATGGCTACCAAAACGTCCCGACGACGTATACCTCGCAATGGCCGAATGGAGCGGCGCGCTTGACACGCCGCGCAGGGTTTGCATTCGCAGAAGGGCGCCCCTGCCACCTCTGGGCAAATGCAAGGGGCCAGGGCGCCCCGCACGCCGCCCACACACACCGCATTCCATCGTGATGGTTTGCGCCCAACGAGGAGCGTGGCAGCCGACGCGCGGTGGCAGAGGCCCCTATG